TTTAATAATCGATTAGTCATCGATTAATCGATTATTAAATTAGTCATCGATTATTTTAATAATCGATTAGTCATCGATTAATCGATTATTAAATTAGTCATCGATTATTTTAATAATCGATTAGTCATCGATTAATCGATTATAAAAATAATCGTTTGTGGCAGCCCTATTGGTCAACATCAAATCCAAGGACCTTCCAAGGACTTTCCAGTACCAATTTCTTCAAATTCACGCACCACGCGCAACGGCAATTACCTACTGCTACACAGAATGTTACTAATAAATAGGTTTAACATCATGTAAATTCAATGAAAAACTGAACATAGAAGTTGCTGAGTCAGAATCAATGAAAGAAAATGGATTAAATGTTTAGCCTACATTCACATCTACAACATATGAACATGTAATTATGTGCTGGGAGGTTCAGCAGCTCACTTTGGGAGGAGGGGATGTGAACATGACCAGGAAGAGCTGTGGTGCTCTCACCTGGGCTCAGAAAGACCCGCCCTAGTCTGCTCTGATTGGCTAAACTATGACTATGGCTCACGTTATTTGTTGAAAGCCACGTCAGATTACTGTAATCCTAAGTTTTTTTAACCACAGAAATATGTTTTTTATTTTATTATAATTTTTTTTTACAGATGATGAAAATCAGTCGTGTGAATAGAGTACTTCACTGATTGGTCTGTGCTTCATACTACAGATGGACAATGAGCCAAAACATAAAGCCAAAGCAACCCAGGAGTTTATTACAGCAAAGAAGTGCAATATTATTGAATGATCAAGTCAGTCACCTGATCTCAACCCAACTGAGCATTTCACTTGTTAAAGACTAAAGTTCAGACAGACAGGCCCACAAACAAACAAAACCACTGCAGTAAAGACTTGACAGAGYATTAAAAAGGAGGAAACAGCGTCTGGTGATGTYCATGAGTTCAAGACTTCAGCCAGTCATTGACAACAAAGGCTTTTCAATTAGAAATAAACATTTTATCTACAATTATTTCATTTGTTCAATTACTTCTGAGCCCTTGAAATGAATGAATTGGGTTTAAAATGTGTTAGTTTCTGACATTTCTAAACAAACGTTTTGTTCAACCTACTGAATTAAAGCCGAGAGCCTGAAATTCAACTGCATTTGAATCGTTTTGTTCAAAACTCATTGTGGTAATTAACAAAACCAAAATTAAGAAAATGTTGTCTTTTTCCAAAAATATACACTTAAATSTAAACACATGCAAACAGACAGGGCTGGGTGATAAATCGATTTAATCAATTAATTCGAATTTGCCATTTATACAGATTTAATTTTGGGACAATCAAGATTTTTTTCCCACCAGTGCACTCTTTGGGGCTTCTGTAGTTCAGAGGTCACCTCAGCTGTCCCTCAAAACACCTGGTACATAACATGACAATATGACAGCAGCTGGCAGAGAGGATCTACTTCTCACAAAGGCACTGTTTCTTCAGTTATCTGGAACTGGTTAGGTTTCACAACCTCAGACTGGAGCAACAAACACCTCACTGTTAAATCTGAAGGATCTTGATACAAAAAACAGGAGAACAACAAACACCTGAAACAGAGACACTCAGCTAAGAGAGAAGCAAAATCGATTAAAATCAAAAATCAAATTTGGGATGAAAAAAATCAGATTTTTTTGGGGCCATATGGCCCCGCCCTACAAACAGATCAAATGGGTAGCGCTGAAAATACAAACTGCTGTTAGTAAAAACAAAACAAACTAACTCTTTGTCATTAACCCCCCACCCCAAAGCCAGAAACGTGGGAGGATTGCTGTACCTCAGTGTTCTAGCTGTGTGTGTGATACCTGTATGTTCAGATTGTAACTTCTACCTGCGTGCTTTCCTTGTGTAGGTACCTGCTCTCCTGTAGCACATCCAGTCACAGTTCTGCAGCATCTGCTGGAGTTTGTCTCGGTCCTGCAGCAGTGCCTCCCGGAGGCTGCTTTCTCTAAGACCTCGAGGGTTCAGAGCCTCGATCAGCTGATCCACCTCCTCCATGGAGCTGTAGAAGGACCACTGGTTGGGACGGATCACTTGGACAGAAGCAGGGCCTGAGCCAGCACTGTTAGGAGAGAAAATCAAGCTCTCCGAGTTAGAGAGCTGTCCGAAGGTGTTGAAGGTTCTGTTTCCTTTGACTGGTTCTGTCTCTGCATGACCCACCTTTCTCTGACTGGATCACACGTAACATCTTCCATGTTGGTTAGAGAGGCCTCAGCAGGTTTTGGACTAGGCTTCAGCATGTCTTCTGTCAGGCCAAAGAAGTCGTCTTCCACAAACAGAACAGAGGCAGAGGGGAGGATCCAGTATCTGCGGTACAGACGGTCTCTTCCCAGAGGAAGCAGGCTGGTGCGAGCCGCTGCCTTCTGGATTAGCTTCTGCAGTTCTCGGACCTGCAGGGAGGACACAAACATGACGATCCCAGAATCAGTTTAACAGGATTTAAAGAATGTGGATTAAGAGATGAGATGGAACTAGAAAGTAGAAACACACCATGACCAAGTCTTATTTTGTATTATAGTTACATGTGTGATATTGAGGTGTAGGCTTTAGAGGACTGTGATGTCATGATGAATCAATCACAATTCAAACTTAATTCTGAGCATACAATCTCCTAGACCTAAAAATATTAATATTTTGATTTACAGTGATTCATAAAACAGTTTATTCAAACAAGATTTTAAAAACTAAAGAAACGAAGAGCGAAATGTTGAGAACAGAGACAAGAATCTGTGACAACAGATGTCCATGAGCTTGGAGCTCCCTGACCCACTTCCTTCAGTATTGTGTTTTTGGTCCTGTTGTGAAGTGTGGCTGTGAGGACCAGGTTTATTGTGGCTCCCTGGTTTTCAAGGACTGTATGCAGACACACTTCCTTCAAAATGAAAGTTGCAATGAACTTTATATTAAAAAGAAAAATAAATACACAGACTCTTTCTTAATGAAACGTTTCGTCTCTCCTCTGAGGGACTTCTTCAGTCTGAGTTGTTTCAGGTGAACTCAGCCTTATAAGCTCCGCCTCCACATGGTGGACAAACAGGTTGGTCACATGCAAAAGAGGACCATCAGCCTAACGATGGTTTGTTAGTGCCTTGATAATAACTTTATATTTTACTTTGCTTTCACAGGTCAAACTTTGCTTACTCTGTACTCCTTTGTTAGCAGTAGCAACTAGCAGTTAGCTGCTGTTTGTCTTCTTTCTCCTCTCGGTGGAAACATAAACATGTACAAAATGTGGTTCTAACTTAAATTTTCCATTAAACTACAGAGAAAACTGAAGTTGAAAATGGACACAGCAGTTTGTTAGTGTGTCCATGCTGGCTATTCGCCAGAAAGGGTCATCTTAGAGCTCTGCGCTCATTAACAGATCATTAACGATGAAGGAGGGAGTGGTGGTGCAGAGGCTAGAGAAGATGAGTCTGTGATTGGAAGGTTGCCGGTTCAACTCCCCCAAACCAACCAGCCCAACTTTGGGCCCTTGAGCAAGGCCCTTCTCCCCGGGCGCTGTAATTGGCAGCCCACTGCTCCACATGTGTTCACATGTGTGATGGGTAAAATGCAGAGAATTCATTTCCCCTCTGTGGGACAGTAAAGACTAATAAAAACACATTTTTTACATTTAAAAACTAATTCAGAATCATTTGTTTGCATCACAAACATCATAATTCCTTCTTTCAGCATGATAAGTAGATGTCTGACCTTCTCCTGCTCCTGCTCCAGTTCCTCTGGACTAAGGCTAGGAGGGGGCCCCACAGAGGGTCTGGACTCCAGGTTTGTCTGCTGTTGGTTCTCCTGCTTGTCTTTAGCTGGGGTTACAGGAGAAACACATGTAAACATTGAGTTTATTCACAGCAGAACTCTGCTCAGAATGTGTTTGTGTAAACATGGCCAAGGACTGTAGATGTTATTCAGTTTTACCTTCATTCATCTGTCTGAATGAARAGTTTTCCTCCTCCTTGTTCTCACGGTGATGGTCTGCAGCTATATTACTATACAAAGATCAAAACACAATTTATTTTATTCCTTTTTTCCCCACATCACAAGCATTCGTTCCCATCATGCTTTCTGTGTTTGAGTTATTCAAGCTACAAACTCCACAGTCTCAATTTGTCTGGTTAAAAAGTAAATGTGTACTTTTAGTGTCAGAACCAACAAACTAAAAAGAATAAAGTTATAAATGTCATAAATGTTCAGTTTGTCTGAAACCATAGAGGGTAAATGAGAAGGTAACAGATCAGCTGAACTATGGGATTAAAACATTAATGAGACTTTCAGCAGTAAATAAGAAATAACCCTGGAATAACAAATGTTCCAACGACTGAGGACAGCCCTACTTAATAATAACAGCTCATCACCTGTTGGTTTGGACTTTCTCCTTCAGTCTGTGTTCCTGCTCCCTCAGCTTTTCCTCCTTCCGAAGACGAACCCTAAAAAGACAAGAATGTTTTACTTCTCTCCAGTTTGTGTTTGTGTTTAGCAGAGGTCATGAACAGTTGTCATTAAATACTGTGTTGTGTTGCTTCAGTTCTGTACAGGGTGAGTTTTAGTCTCTAATTAATTTATGAACCTCTGTTCTGTTCCAACCCTAAAACATTTAGTGTGTCACTCTGTGAATCACTACCTTTTAATGGTAGAGGAGTTTGTGCCTGGATGGTTCTAAAAGCTATACTGTCCCCAGCAGAGTCTCTGAGGGAAGACTGGTCCTTGCTGACAGGTCTGAGCATTTCACATCACTTGAATGGATTGGAAAACACAAAAAGCTTGATGTCCCTCATCCAGACATTGGTTACCACAGCCCTGGAGCCAGGTCTGGGGTGGAGATCATCCACAAATGTCTGGTGACCAAGACTTGACCCACCGGGTCCAGTTGGGCTCAGCCTGAATAAGCTTCATGGGTTTGCTTTCCTGTGGGCTCAGACCATACACAGTAAGTGTAATGTAGGCGCTGGCTGAAGGCAGGGGCTTCGGAGCACTGCACTTTGACCCTGGCTACTGAGACATGGACTGTCACCTCTCTAGTGGGGAAGGAGATGAGGTGAAGAGATACTGTCCAAGAGAGGAGCTGCTAACTGATCACTATCTGACTGGGACTTGGATTAGATTGTGGACAGACCTGTAGAACCAACCATGTAGTGAGAGTTCGTTGGCAATGCCTGGTAAAAGAAACCGTAAAAAGATCTTTAACTCTCACTTCAGACAGAGCTTTGACTGCATCCTGTCAGAGGCAGGAAACATCAGGTCTGAGTGGACCATGGTATAATCACAGAAGCTGCCCACAGCTAGAGCTGCAAGGTTGTCTGTGTTGAGCTGAACCAGTCCTGTCAAAACGGTTTATAAAAGTCTGTAAAAACACCGGGAAAAGTCACCAGATTTGTTGCTAGTCTCTTTTTGGGGAAAAAAGTCTCTAGAGGGGTCTATAAAGCTGCTAGATCTAGCAACAATGTCGCCAATCTGGCAACAGTGTGCGGTTAGAAAATCTCATTTTAACATATCACAAGTTTATCACAAATGCAATTAATAGTTCAGCCATATTGCTTTGGTAGTTAGCTTTGGTAGTTAGCTTTGAGGCTACAAGGCTCAGGATTAGACAAGGTATGTCCTGAGTTCCTGAAGGCTTTGGATGTTGCTGTCTTGTATTGTCTGACACATCCTTGTAACAGTGTGTTGACATCAGGGCTACACACCTTGACTGGCAGCCTGGGATGGTGGTTCCACTCTTCATGAAGAGCAAGTGTTCTGGGCATACATAACTAGGACCTCAGGTAAAACACAGGTCACACTTGTCATAAATTTATGTGTAGAACACAGTTACTGTGGTTATGGCAGTTTACAGCAGTTGATGACGTTTTACGGCAGCGGCACACTTTACAGCCGAAGCATGGGGGTATGCGCCAAAACGTGTTGCATTACGGTTTGTTCTGAAAATGCTAAGTTGTGTGTTAGTCTGTATGTTTCCATCCGTTAATAAAGCTGAGTTGAAAGACAAAATAAAGCTCGTTCATTCTACAACGTTGCAGAGACAATGTTTCTTGGATGGTCTAGGAACACTGAAATCTTCCCAGAAGAGCTGGAAAAGGTGGCTGTGAAATGAGATGCCTGGGCCTCCCTTCTCCAGCTGCTGCCCCTGGAACCAGCACCATAATGGTACCATAACCTAACCATAACGGATGGATGGAAAATAAATAAAGGGTTATGAGTATAGGTTCAGCAGAGTACAAACATGTAACCTGGTTGTACAATAGGATCTGGAGTATCACTAGTTGTGGCTAAAATGGAGGATGTGGAAAGGACAGTTTTAACTGAAGGAACAACAGTCACTGGCTCAGATTTGTGGATCCAAGCAAAGGAAGTAAAAGTGTTTATTTAAGTATTTATTTAAAATCTGATTTTTTTTCATCCCTGTTATGGTAATATTTATTTAACAAAGACAGAAATACGTGGTCCAAGAATGAAG